CTAAACCTATACTCTAACAAAAACAACCTAATGCTAGAACTACTAATGTAAAGGATTCCCTTCCTAATAAGGGGGGGGGTACTGTTACAGTATCCTCTCTAGATCCTAGACATAACTATATTAGACGTGTACTAGAGTATTATTAGTGCACGTCTAACATAAACACAATATAACATAGACATAAACTTAAGCATAAACTACTTTAACACTAACTAAACTTAAAATAGGCTTAATTTATACTTAAAGCGCTTAGACTTTTAAGCTAAGTATTTAATTACTAATTTCTTTCTAAACTTTCTTATTTCTTACATAATGTCTTGTACCTACTATGATACCTCACGTAGTAATTAAACTAGACCTCCGTGAAGCTCTATAACCTTACTCGTGCACAATCGTGACAATAATAAATAACTAACATATTAAATAACTTTTAAGCTAATTTTATAGCTAACTTATAAAAGCTAAGTAATACTAAAAAGTAAGTAATTATTAAGCATATACTTAAGCTATATATATAAGAATTTTTTTTTAGCTAGTAGTTATAGCTAATATAGCTAATTCTTTACACACTAAGTATAATCTAAGCTATATTAGCATAAACTAGCCTAGTATATTTATAAAATATTATTTAAAGCTTAAAGTAAAGTTTTAAGTATAAGTATAGTTAATAAATATTTAGCTTATTTTAAAGCTTATTTTATTAAAGTTATATATGTTATTATTTTAAATACTATTCTTTACTTTAATTTTTTTATAAGGCTAAACTAGCTTTAAATTACTTTAAAATTCTAATAAAAGAGTTTTTATAGTTATAGTTATAGTTATACTTAAACTTTACTTTAAGCTTTAGATAATACTTTATAAATATAGTAAGCTAGTTTATACTAATATAAGCTAAATTATACTTAGTGTGTAAAGAATTTGCTATATTAGCTATAGCTACTAGCTAAAAAAAAATTTATATATAGCTTAAGTATATGCTTAATAATTACTTACTTTTTATTATTTCTTAGCTTTTATAAGTTAGCTATAAAATTAACTTATAAAAGTTATTTAGTATATTAGTTATTTATTATTTTTTAAAAAATTTTATATATAGCTATAGTGTATTACTTAAAAAGTATTATGTTTTATTTAAAAGCTTAAAGTATAAGCTTTAACATTTTTTTAACATGTCTAAGTAGTGTTATTAGAAATGCATTAGTGTAAAAAAAGTAGTTTAGTGTAGTCTTAGTAAAAGTAAGCAACTTAGATGTGTAAACAACTTGCCTGTAGTGTACGTTGTACATTTATTTTATTCAAGCTAAAGAAGTGTGTTTATAGTAGTTTAGCATAGCTCCTGTATATAGCTTATATAATAGTTGTCTGTTTACACAATAGTCTTATGTTACTAAGACCTACCCCTTTTCTTGCATCTATATAGACCCCTAGGTACACTCCTCTAGCAACAAATTTAGTGCCTTTCATCTCTATGCTCCCACAAGCTTCACATTTGGTCCTAGCAGGGGCTAACTCTCGAGATTTACATCTTGACTTCACGCTACGAATCAAGACGCAAAATTTCTCTCAAAATAGGGTCTTGATTATTTGTGATGCCTAAAATATCAACGCGCTGTATGATTCTGCAGATAAGGAGCGCTCCGAGCTTAAGTCACATGCTGCCTAGCTTGCTCCCCCACATATATCCCTAGATACACCTACCTAGCAATTAACTCAGCTTCAGGTATCCGCGCTCCCAAAAGCTTCACAGTTTCGCACAGCTGACGGGGACCATAAGACAAAAGCTGGTCGAAAAGTAACGAGATCCAAAAGAATGAATTAAAATGCCCTGAAAGGCCTGAGGAGCAATAGAGGGTTTCTAACTGACTCTATACTTTACGAAAGAGTGTATAGATAACTTAATCAAGGACTTACTAGACAAATTTATCCCCCCTTCTTTTTAAGGAAATCCAAGATTCTCCTTGCTCTTTCTTTAAACTCCGGTTCTCCATTCCACAGCGATCCTTCTAACATCTGCGCAGGCGTTTCGCCGCTGACTGTAATACTTGGATTCATACCCTTCTCCACTAACCTCACAACTTTCTCATAGTACCCCATGTAGGCAGCAAGATGCAGCTTTGTCAAGTCTATTATGCAGTCACGCTCAGCCATATACTTCTTTAGCAGTTTCGCCGCTTTATATCCACTCCTCATCCACTTTATCTCCATACCTTCCCCTCTCAATGATTTTGGTGGCGTGTGTCTTGCCCTCTCTAGAACAATATTAAATGCATCCACGCCACTTCTTGTCTCTAATAGTACATCCGCGCCGAACTCACAGAGCAGTCGTACCGCACCATATCCGCTATTATACGCTGCGAGATGTAATGGCGTCCAGCCGGCCTTCGTGCGAACATCCAACAGCTCTCGCATCAGATCTGGGTGATTAGACAAAAGAGTCTGCAGAAGGAGTTGCCCTTGGATTCCTTCCATGGAGAGGATTGACGCACGTGTGACGGTATAATGAAGAACCGTCCAGTCCTCCTCGTCACGCTTGAACACAATATAATTGTTCGTTCTAGCGGCGGACAGTAGAGCGTCCAACATCTCGTTTGGAGTTTCGGCTCGCTGATCGCTGAGGTAAGATCCTAAAGGAGTGAGACCTGATTTTGTTTCCAAGGCTGGATTAGCCCCGAAATCCAATAAAAGTTTGAGCATTGGACAGCCAACAAGTGTTGCGAGATGCAGCGGATATTCAGCTAAGTCGTCTTGGGTGACGACATGCAAGAGGTCTCTATCTCTCATCAGGATCGCTTCAACCCCCGAAATTGTGTTCTGAGCAATGGCCCAGTGGAGGGCGTTCCATCCAGGTTTGATCATTAAGCTGGTCTTACGAGCAGAGCAGCCTGCATCAAGAATTAACTTGGCAATTTTGGCATGTGAAGCCACAGGAACACCACGTATGCCAAAGATGGCTGCTTGCAAGGCGGTGATTCCTGAAGACTGGACATCTGGGGTGCAACCCGGGTGTGCGATGAGACAAGCGGCTATTTCGACGTCAACGTCGCTAATATTGGTGTATGCAATCTTAGAAAGAGGAGTCAGGCCGAATTCAGGGTGCGAAATCTCGTTGACGTCCCAGTGCCGCGCAAGGATTGAGATCGTTTGCTGGATAGCTTCCTTCCATATCTTTCCGTGGAGGGCTGTGCGCCAGATCGGGTCGCTGCGATTCAAAGAGAAGAATGGCGATTGAATGTGGTGAAGGGCTTCAATTGATGGAAGAAAGGCCGGTTTTAGAAGGATCTCCAGAATGTCATATAGATGGAGTGAAGCTGCAAGGTGAATGGGAGAACGTTCTGTATCCCAAGAAGTGATATCAGCTCCATGCTGAAGAAGTGCGATAACCAGCGTCTCATTCCTAGACGCGATAGCCCAGTGGATTGGAGCACCTACTACCTCGATCCAACCCTCCAGGAGTTCTAGAGGCTCACTAGCGTAAGCGTTGATGTCTACGTTTGGAGAGCGCATAATGCTATCCACTGCATCAACAACATCTTCCTGAGGAAGCATGATCATGAAATGTAAGGGGGTATAGCCATCTCTATCTCCTCTCCATGCTTCACTCCCGTGGGCAAGTAAAGATTGGATCGCGGGTAAATGGCCGCCCCAGCAGGCAAAGTAGAGCGCCGTTCGTCCTACGTCGTCTGGACAGTCTTTGGTGCCACTAACTAGGAGTTTATTTAGCCGATCGGTAATGCCGAGGTATGCTAGCTCGTGGATCCCAAAACCGCTGTGATCACAAGCCTGGAGCATCTTTCGCTGAGAAACGAGATCTACTTCATGCCATGGCGTGTAGTAGGTGGTCTCCTTCAGTGCGCTGATAATGATCGAAGCCTGATCCTCCTCGGAGGGAGAATCTAAAGCATCTACAGATTCCTCTACAAGATCGATGTTGAATGCAGCGTGAAGACGTGCGACCAGGTGTCGTGCTGCAACTGAGCCTTTTTGACTCGCTAATTTCATGAAACTTAGCGCTCTTTCGATGTCTCTCTCCACTCCAAATCCTAGAAAATATAATATTGACATGTTTAATGCGGCCTTTCCCGTTTCGTCAGAATCCGGCTGCTCGGTATGTTGTCTTATCCCAGATGCCAGTGCCATTTGAATGTCCCACGGAGGTATTCTGATAGTTGATTCGGACACTTCGTCCGTCGAAAATTCGGTAACCAAGTCGGAAAAGATCTATTCCAGAGTCAGCAGAACTTCTTGAAATGGTCAAGCACATGTGCTATTTACATCTCGGGGGCTCTGACGAAGTGTTGTGTCCTTTGAGGGAAGATGTAGTGGATAGCACACAAGCGATCTTGAAACGAGTTAGCTTTTCACTTTCTACAAAATGATATACCTTACTCTTGTTGCTTCACATTTTCAAGGGCCGAGATGATCACGTCAGGTTTCCAGCGCTCTGACGGATGAAGATGTAGTGCATGCTCAACAACACGCCGCAACTTGAATAGGATCCGGCTTGAATCTCCGGCCTCCCTTTCCATGTCACAATCTTTTAGGGCGATGTCAATAATTTGGCCATATTCATTTCCGTCAACCGCAGATTGAGCTCGTTCCTCGGCAAAGAAGTTCCGTCCGTTCCGTACGACTTCCCATACTAGTAAGCCGTACGAGTAGATATCGCACGCCCAAAGCAGGTTCTCTGCCACGATATCCCTATCTTTGTGGTAAAGCTGTCCTTTCCGAAGCTCTGGCGCGTTGTAAAGCTCAGTGCCCCAATAATCACGAACACCATTTTCTCCGACGGCCAAAATGGAAGATCCAAAGTCGGCTATTTTCGCACAAAAAACCTCAGGGGCAACCTCACATATCAGGATGTTCTCCATTTTTACGTCTCCATGAACGATCGCAGAGGAGTGGAGCGCGAAAAGGCCGCGTGCAATTTGTTCACAGATGGCTCTTTTTTGCTCCCAACTCGTTGAAGGCATTGACCGGAAAAAGTCCCGAAGTGTTCCCCGATTTGCGTACTCGACAACCAGAAATGGCGATAAGTAGGCCTGATCAGCATATTCCCAACCGTAACCTGACAAGCCCAGAATATACTTGCAGTTCTTTAGAGGCGGATGCGACATCACCCTAACCTCTTTGAGAACTTTCCGGAAACGCCGGACAACAGGATCTTTTGCTTGCTCTACTGTACCAGGAGGCGGAGGCTCTAATTTGACATGTTTTACGATGAGTCGATTGCCGGTACCACTCTCTTCGCAAAGATCTACTCTATAATCGCGGCCTTCGCCAAGAGAGGCGGAGTGAAGACCGGACAAGAATAGCCCTTGGTCATATTGCCGTAAGCCAGAACTTGTGACGACAGAGAGGAAGTTGGAGATTGATGGCCAGTTCAGTAATTTTTCACTAGATTGTTCCTCTGATGTAATAGACTTAGGAACTGATGACAAGTTTCCATAGAGATTGGAGAGTAGAGTGACCAAGGATCGAGTTGAGTCCATGAAGAACACTTAGCGGCTTTCACATAGTTTAGGGAGGGAGGAAATCCGAAGTATTGTCAGATCGTACCGGCTGTATTACGGAAATGCGGCATTTTCGGATTTTAGGTGGCGCTGCAAGGCTTGGTGGTGGACAGTTGTTTTTGCTGTTCTTGAGCATCCAATCAATGTAAAGAGTACACCACATTCAAGACCGGAGCTGCCACGTCAGCACCCGGTTGGGTCAAATGATTTAAGTTGCTCTTTGTGAAAATTCATGTCTTCCACTTGTACAAGGAAATTCTCTAAATCTTCATTAGTCAAGAATGGCTACAACAGCCGGTCTAGTTCTTGCCGCTATCGCTTTGATCGAGCCTACAATCAAGCTCATCAATGGCACCCTAGACTTCATTCAAGATACAAACAATTTTGGGAAAGACGCGTACGATTTGGGTCTCAAAATGAGCCAACAGAAAAGCAGATACGACTCCCTCCAGAAGGTCTTATTCGAGGACAACAAGTTCCCTTTCATTAATGGGAAGCCATTTGCGCACCTTCCAGAAGAAAAGCAACGAATTTTACTGGCCATGCTAAGAGAAATACCGCAACTCCTCTTCGAATATTATGTGACCGAAGTTTCATACAACCTAAAGCCCTCTAGAGAGGAACTATCAGATAGTCGGAACGAGGAGCAAGGTCTTCCTACTATTTTGACTTCAAAAGAATTGGAAACCATATTCGAAAAGGGTTCAGAGTCAGAAGTATTTTCGGGGGTGTTGTATCCAAAAACCGGCAAGCTTCAGAAGATGTGGTGGTCAGTGAGGGGGAAAAAGCGAGCTGTCAAGCTTGTTGCTCAGTTTCAGGATTGGTTGAAGCGTATCCGCGAAACTTTGGAAGATTGCTGGTGGCCACTCCCCTTCTTTGATAAGAGCTCCAATCTCCAAGTCGTGGAAGATGACGTTGACGCACAAGCGGTTGGTGTCGCACAGAAAGCGGGCCTGCGCAAGATACTCCTAGATGACTCGCGGCTTCCCGGAGATGTGAAATTATCGACTCCACAATTGACCGTTAAGGGGTTCGACAAAGCGTGTCGCGGGTTTTCAAGATATGACGACAAAGATGTATTCGTGGAATATCTACCTTACGAACCAGATAAAGACGGGTTCCTGCCACGCACATTACGGCGCCGCTTTGGCGAGATAGCCTGGCTGCTCAATCAGCAGAAGGATCCGGAGTTTCGGGCACTGCACTGTTTTGGGTATATCGATTCAAGCTTTCCGAGGAAGGAGTTTCAGTTGGTTTACAGAGTCCCAGAGAATCGTGGAAAGTCCCCGAAATCTCTCCTCTCTTTGTACGGTGACAAAAAATTTCCCCGTCCATCCCTTGGTGATAGGGTCAGTCTCTGCCAACTGCTGGCGCAGTCTATGTCGCTGCTTCACTCTGTTGGATGGATACATAAAGGCTTCCGCAGCTCGAATGTTCTATTCTTCCCGCGTGCATCTGAAACCCAAGTTGTGGACAAATTAGAAGATCCTTTTATTGTAGGCTTCGAGGCTTGTAGACTTGAAGACGATTTCTCCACGGGGCCGTACGATAATCTCCTTTCACAGAACATCTACAGGCACCCGGACAGGTGGGGTATTCCAAAGAAACCCTTCACCAAATACCATGACATTTACGGTAAGTTTCCACGTTCTGTTCTGGCCAGCAATTTTGGTACCTGACAGTAAACTAGCTCTAGGAATCGTCTTGCTGGAAATTGGCCTCTGGGAAAAGGCTGAAACCATGGGGAACAACAACTTTCAGGTAGTAAAGCAGAACTCAGATGCAATCTGCAAGGAGTTGTTGCGACAAGCGGAGCGTAGGCTCGGATATCATTGCGGGGGCAAGTTCAAAGAGATTGTAAGGCGCTGTATTACTGGAGATTTCGATATCACCACGGCAGCAGACGACAAGCTAGATACCCAGCTGCAAAGCAAGTTCCGTGAACTAATTATAATGCCTCTAGCGGAAATGGCCAAAGCGGTATAGAAGATCGAACGGAATCTAGTCGGAAATCAGAGTAGATCATTCCACATGGCATGGTAAGGTATGGTGGGTAGATGGGGTTCAGGCCAAGGCCTTTAGATACAGCTAAAGTAGTTCTGACAATAGGTTACCTGCTTCTTTCAGACTCCCTATAAGTAGTTTGGAGCAGACATCAACTATTAATGGCTTATCTCGGGGCCAGAAAAGTGTATCTGCGTGTTACTCTCTGGTATCCTCCTGGATATTCCCCTTTGTTGAGAACGATCTCGGCATCAGTTCCTCCCGGACTCAAAATTACCTATGCATGGTTCTCCTAGATTGTTAAGAGAGCGATGATGCGTGGGCAAGCTGTTTTCGTTGGGGAGTCGACGTACCTCTCATTTCTTTTGGAACTCAGGGGATATTCGTCATACTGGGGGCACATTGGGGTGGGGTGGTTAGTAGGTATTTGGTAGCTATCCATATGATATTAGCAAAGAAAGGATGGTGCAAGATTACGAACCACTGGTACTGAATTCTATAAATCAGACAATAAATCATTTAATTACAATGCTAGATTAGTTCTATACACCCTCAAAGAGATGAGTGAGGTTAAGTTGTCGCACGTGACTTTATCTCACATGTGAATTCAGGTCCTTGATTCACAATGGTAACTTATTTAAAAATAGCGCAGCTTAGTACACTAAAAAGTCTCGCTCCTCAGAGCTTACATAATAGTTCAATCAACCTAGTTTGGCTCCCACCACCTAATTAACCCCTCGCAACTTCGTATGTCCTCTACCCATCAACTCTCTAGCTAACTGTGCGATAAAAGGCCAACAGCTAGCGAAAGAGTCACTCTCTATCCATTTCAAAGTTCTTGTTAATATATAACATTTCGGCTTCCTCACCCCTTGGCGAAAGGTGTCGCATTCCTGCTACAGAAACCTTCCTTCCCTTACCTCAACAGCCTATACTGCTGTTACTATAGCTCCTACTACCTTCACTATATCCCCTTAGCCATTACCATGGCCCTCACTGCCTCTGCCATCATAGGTGTAAATAAATAGTCTGCAACAGAGCACTTGGACTTAGATCAATACACTTCACTTCATCAACTTTCTACATAGCTGCATGCATACACCACCTTTCCATTTGCAACAAAAGGAGAACTTTCCTCATTTCAAATTGTTAGGATCGACCCAATGGACTCTAAGATCAGCTAAAGGGGCTCTAAGACTAACTAAATAGTCTATATAACTAGGTAGATGCTCTACAGGACTGAGAAAAGTTGCGTTCAGTATTAAGGAACAATTCTTGAACTTGATAAAAGGGCCGCCTGTAATCGCGCACCCGGGACCCTCGATCGCGTTTTAGTTCCTCAGGTTCAAATTGAAATAAAGACGCCTGAGTAGACTACTGTGTCTCGCCACCGGAGTCGGAATTTCGAACTGTTAGCTTACCCAGTTGTCTTCCCTGAAGTTTAGCGAAATGTCCCTCACACCCAAGTCTTGAATCTGTAATGCAGACGAGCGCGTTTAACGAGCTGCAGTATGGTCAGTAGTTTACAGCGTACTCTCTGGGTCCTGTAAGCCGCGTAATAGAATTCCAGGCATAACGTAGACGTAGTTGACTCAAATCTGACCTCTATTGGGAGGCTTTAGCGGCCAAAAAAAGCCGCGACTTTTCTAGGTTAAGGGTCCGAAATTGGTAGCTTTTAAAGTCACTTTTTGGCGTTGGGATCGCCGAGCGGTGATTAACGCGTAAACATCAAGGCTACGATACATACGTCACCCTAGGTGCCATACGACGACTTTCCTAGCTCCCATGCGCAGGGTTCCCAACCGTACGTACTACGAGTCGTAGTATACGACCCGTAACAGTCACGTGAGCCGTTAAAACGTAGGAGAGATATGAGTTGTAACGTATAACTAGAGGAGCGCCCATTACAGACTGTAGTACGTCTTAAAAAGGCGACTTTTCCTACTAAAATAGGACCTAATTAGACACATGTAGGATTGCGTTAGAAGCGTGTTTAAGGTTACATTCTTAGAGTAATAATTAAGTAAAAACTCTAAGGTTTGTAAAACATTAGCGCTTATAGCAGAGGCTAGAAGTAAGGTGTGCTATTTTATGTAAATAGTTAGCTTTTTAGCCTGTAAATTATTATTAATTTATCTACATCTATTGTTCTACCTACTATAAGCTAAATGTCCTAATTCCTTTAGCATAGTAGGTGTACTGCTTTATCCTAAGGATCCTCTAGAGCTAGCTCTTCCTAGTAAACTAACATATTTTATTATGCTAGTTCTTGTTGCCTTACTAAGTTAAAAGCCTTATTGTCTTCCTTTCTAGTTTTATTCTAAGGTAGTACACTGTCTAATGCCTGTTTAAAAGAGTACCTAGCTAACACTAGTCTTAATAACAGAGTAGCTTTTACTATAGAGTAAGATAACCTCTAGCTAGCAAACAGGAAGCTAAGGCCTAAGAAAGTTAGGTATTGTGTAAAGCATAAGAGCTAGCTCTGTAGGAACTAGCAGCTCTTCTAGATTTAGCAGCATAGAGTAGATTTAGTGTACAACAATAAAAAGAACAGCTCTAAAGTAAAGCTATAGCTCTATAAAAGGTGCCACACTAAGGGCGTTTATAAAAAGGTGAAGAAAGTTAATAGTTACACTTATATTATAAGCTACTTTAGAAAAAAACATAGAATTAATGTCTTTAAAAAAGGTTTTTTACTTAACGCGCTAAAGATTTTAGTAAGTCTATTTAAAGCTACTTATAAAGTTACTAGCTTGTTATATATTATCTTTTACAGCGTGTAGCAAGAGAAAGTGTTATAGGTAGTAGTTATTAATTAGGTTATTCTTTATAACATTTCTTTTAACACAGCATTATTAGTAGAACTTTAGGGTATTTTTACTTAAAACTAAGCTAATCTTCTTGCAGCTTTTTTAGTTTTAGATACTACATTTTCTTTCTACATAAATAAGGCCTGCCTACACTAGAGAGCAGAGATTTAAACAATACTAAAGATAGCCTAAAGCAAAATTATGTTAAGTGTTAATATATAAACTTCTCTAAACTACCTCTTCTTCCTAAGTATAGTGTTGCACTTTATTAGTATGTGTACTTTAGCTTATTATTTTAGCGCCTTAGCACTATAAAAATTAACAACAACACACTTACTTATGCTAATATAGATGTTAACTACTAGCACTGTAACATACTTATTAGCTTTTGCAACTTATATAGTAACTATATAAAGGCAAACTAAGCTAAGGAGATTATTAAGGTTATTAATAACTTTAAAATTATATTAAAATTTTATTATTTAGTAGCTAATAATATATTAAATAATAATAATAAAACTATCTCTGCCCTTACATAACATCTTAAAAGGCCTCTCACCTCTAAGCACTGTATACGCTGCGCTAGTCATACAATCTAGCTAGTAGTTAAGGCAGTTATATATAGAAAAAAGATAAACACTTTTAAAGCAGCGCTAGCCTAAGCTGCTCCTTAGGATTAATTTAAACTATACTATTAGCATAAAGTTATAGGTAAGCTTTATAACTTTATAAACACAGTGTTAGTGTTACATAAACGCTAGAAGGCCTTTATAACTTTTTAAGCTACTCTTAATAATAAGGACCCTTTCTAAAGCTTTAGGACCCTTAATCTTATATAAGACAGTAGTGTACACTAGCACAGCGTCTATCTTATGCTCCTCTGCTGTTATAAGCTTAAGGACACTATTACTAAGTTTATTTATAAGCAGAGAGGCACTAAGGACAATAGCGCTAACTCTACTATTCTTAGTAATGCTGCTTTTACTAAAATTATTACTAAAGATAAATAAAAAAATGTTAATTACTTTTATAAGTTTCTTAAAGTCTTTTACTTTATAATAAAACGCCTTAAGGGTAAGGGCTTATATAGATCTTTATAGATAACTGTTATTAACTTATAACACCTATATACTAAGCTTCTCTAGATAGGGGATAAACTTAAGAGTAAGAGTAATAATTACTACCTTAAATCTAGCATAGCATTTAGCACAAAGAAGTTGCTTACATACTAAAAGAAGTTTATTATAAAGCTGCCTATATTTTATTATTATATTATAACTATTTTTAACTCTTAGCTTTGTCTTTTTTAGTTTAAAGACTACTAGCGTAAGTACTTTTTATAGCATAAAAAAGCTAAGGCTTTAATAAGAGCTATTTTTTAAGAGTACATTAATACTAAAGTAGAGGCAGAGGCAAAGGATAATAAGCAACTGCTATCTACGCAACATAAGTTACTAGGTAGCAAGTATTATAATAAGGGCTTTAAGTAGACTTTTTTTATAGACATAAGCCTTTTTACTAGTAATTATTTATATAAAAAGCAGTAGAAAATAACAGAATTGCAGTAATACTATAATAGTTACTGCAAAGATGTTACTATAGCTAAGAATAATAGCCCTCTGTTTGCTAATTCTTTTACATAGTAAAAATAAGTTAGACAGCTTGCCTATTTTACACTATATAAAATTACCTTTAACTTCTTATCTATCCTATCTACAAGCTGCAACTGTAAGAGGAGCTTTAGCAGTAGTAGGAGAACTATTACCTATAACAGAAATAAGCTTTTTAGCCTAATAATTAAGGCTCTTTAACTATAGAAAAACTAGCTATGTTAGCACTATGTTTATAGTAAATTATTATCCTTAGTAGACTATATATAAGCTGTTACAACGTAACTTTTTATAAAACATTAAAACATAGAAGAAATGTAAATTATAACAGTTACGCTCTGTAAGTGGACTTAAATGTCATGCTTACGTTGAAACGTACTCACAATCTGAGAAGTTACAACCATCGATTTGGCGAGTCGTAACGTATTACGTACGGTTGGGAACGCTGCCCATGCGTAGGCAGTCCCCATACAAGACTGCCGTGATATGTGCCACGAGACTGAGGTCTTCCCTTGGTTTACTTCGAAGTGGTCCTAAAGACAACATGTTTGTGCTGGCATGGGTCACAGCTAAACAATTTAAAAGAAGCTATATGGATGTTGTTGCAATAGGCAAAGCTAAGTGTTGACAATCGCGAGATGTTGTTGACGAAGAGTAGGGAGTTTTCGCGACGTGCCATTGGCTTTGTGCTCGCCCCTGAGAGGATAGGAAAAGGATAAGAGGATGCATAATGATGGCGCCAAAGTTCTTCGAGTACAAAATGCTGGCTTGCGGGACTAGGACTTGTGTAGAAGCCTTTCTAGTTGGAGGCGGTACAAGTTTCAAGTAGTTCTTAAGATCTCCAAAGTTTCCGAGAGCGGCTTCTGCCATCTCTCCACAATTTCTGAAACGACAAAATATATCTTACTTCATGTGGCTTTACCAATCTGAGGGGCGGAGCAATGCGAGCTTTTAGAATCGAAAGAGGCTACCGCGGCCGGCGAGCGTAGGATACCTAGATACCAATATATCAAATGAGGGACGGACGGCAGCCGCATGAAGTTTGGCTCGAATCCGAAAGATGACATGAGATGGACAATGACGGGAGTGGGGAGCAGGGTGGATCTAGGTCTCGAAGAAAGAGAAAGAACGTGGAGCTTGATTGTTGAAGCTAATGCCAATCGAGCTAAAATCTATCAGGCTTAGTACAGCATTTTTCGTCAGGTCAGCCATGTATCGATGCAGTTAGACAAGACCTCCAGTCCTCAGTCTTCAACTATCCCTGCTATCTCGCCCTTTTATCGCCCTGCCAGACCCTAAATCCATTCAATTTGCTCCAGAACAGCCTTGCAACATGTCTAGGATGCAGGTGTGTGAGCATTGAGATACTCCACATGATGGAGCCTCAATTATTCCCCAACTTCCAGCTCAGGATACAACAGACAATCCGGGGATGCTAGAAGAAAATGCTAGCATTATCTTGAGGGTTAGGCCCAGTACTAGGTACCTTAAACATGCAAGTTCCCTTCCTCAATTCAGACATTGGGCAACTTAGCAACCCATACAGTAAGATTTTCAGTCCAGCGATAGCTTCTAAGCGATGAACAGTGTGTATCCAGACTTTTACTTTCCTTTCTCACCACATTCCCTTGCAATTATTTCCCTCCTAGGTCCAACCACCACCTAATTCCCCCGCTCTCGTCCACTCTCGCACCATAGACGTATCTACGCTCTCCGCCACTTTTCCTAACATCATACTTGCCCCGAAATCCGAAGAATACAAGACAAGCAACGCCGGTTGCTTTACCCTTTTCGAGAGCGAGATTGAACCCGCTTGCATCGCTCGCTCAAGAACTGTCGAGGAACTAAGTAGCTTCATTAGACAAGTTGTGTCTATTCCCGACGTACCTGACGCTGTCAAAAGTGGTGGCCATACATCATAGGGTGATGCGGCGAATATCGAGGGTGGTATCACTATTGGATTAGCGCACTTTAAGGGGGTCGAAATCGATGAGGAGAGCAAGAAGGTAGCAATCGGAGTATATGAGAAATGGGGAAACATGTATGGGAAATTGGTATCGCGTAGGTATGCTTGTGTTAGCGGCTTGACAGTTGAAGGTTTGGACCCCTCTTCCTATCATCTTCTCCCCTCTCTTGTCAATATCGCCATATTTGCTAATGCACGGCAGGCGGAATGCCCTATTTTTCGCGCAAAACAGACTTCGTGTGCGACAACGTAGTCAACTTCTCCGTCGTCCTTGCTTCCGGAGAAGTTGTGCAGGCCAACGCACAAACCAACCCTAGTCTATTCCAAGCACTTAAAGGTAGCTCAAACAACTTTGGAATTGTTACCCACATCACACTACCCATTTTCTCACGAGACATTCTCTAGGTCGGTGTAGTTGCACTTCCAGCAATCACCTAGCCCGCCATCGTCAGTAAATTCACCTCCTTTCTCACATCGACTGATCCCGGGGATTTGGGCAGTGCGGTGATAACAAGTGTTTTTCACTCACCGCAACTAACGGGATGCTTTGTACAGCCCACATGCACGGCTCCGCCGAATTTAGGAAAGAGTCTGAAAGAACTAAGTGAGATTGAACCGCAGATGTTTAGCAAGATAAGAGAGGGTATGTTGAAGGACTTCTCCGATAGCAGAATACCCATAATGACGATAGAACGAGGCCGTGGCACTTCACAACTACAGTGAGGTTAAGCGAAGAGTTCATGCTAAGTGGAGCAGTTGTGGTCGGGAACTTGCGCGGAAATGTTGAAGGATGCTCCGGGATTCGCACTTGCTTTGGTGTTTCAATCTATTGCCATCGAATTTCTACAAGCATCGGCAGACCGTGGTCCCAATACCCTGGGTCTAAGCCCAAAAGATGGACCACTTGTCAACATCCTCTTTAACATCACGCATTACGGGAAGGAAGATGATAGCAAAGTTCAGGAAGCAGTGCAGGGTTAACTAAAGAAGCTGGACAAATTTGCAGAGTGTGTGGGAATTGACCACCGCTATCTATTCATGAATTATCGGTACAAGGACCACAAGATTGTTGGAAGCTTTGGTGAGGAGAGCGTGAAGAATTTATAGGAGGTAAGCATGGAATACGACCCACACAGCTTCTCTCAAAAGAGAGTTGTGAGTGGTTTCAAGTTGCCACTATAGAGAGGGTAGATGGAGTGCTGCAGCTGGCGCGTTGGTGGTTTGGTCCTAGCAGGCGCTAACTCTCGAGATCTACATGTTGACTTCACGCCACAAATTAGGGCGTAGAATTTCTCTTAAAATAGGGTCTTGATTATTCGTGATGCTTAAGATATCAACGTGCTGTATGAACTAGCACCCGTCATTCCAATCATTTTTCATGTCGTTCTGCACCTACAGTACGACCGCCTTCAATTTCTGTCCACTTTCCTAACGCTAGTTTAGATTGCAGTCAAAGATCTTTTGCCCAGCTAGTATTGCTAGTTACAGAGCACATCATACGGTAGATCTCGAGGTACACCTGCGATTCCTTCGCTATTTTAACCTCCTGCACTCCATCAACGTTTTCCGCAACATTAACGAATGTAATTCCAAAGAGCCGCCTAGCACGGGGAGTTGAAGGGGAAGAATCAGGTTCCCTTCCCACCCCAACGCCTTGATCATTGATCACGGTTCTGAACAGCAGGCTCTAACGGCAAATCCAGCGGTCCATCTTCCACCCAAGACCTCGGTTCCAAGCCGATTGACCCATAGCTAATTAGGCTGCTGTATGGTTCTAGCAAAGTCAACCTTCAGGCCAAGTCCCCTGATCAAGAAGAATGATGAGTCTTGAGGGCGCCGCCATTCTCCGAAGACAAAGCCAGTTCACTGCGAATGCGTGACCTCATGTCAACCCAAGCCCCGGCCGGCCGGGGAACGTGCGAATTGAAACCCTAAAGTGAATGCCCTATCTCTAGACCTTCAGTTAAGCCCATAGACTACGAATAAACCCCTTGATCATATCGCTCGTGAAGCTGAGAGACTGTTATCTCCCACACCATCCGCCTTATTTCGCCATCTTTCAGAAAAGGCTGTTTGCCCTCTCCATAAATTCATAGTATGAGGCTAAGAAGAAAGGTTCTGGCTACTGCTGCTCTTAGACTTTGATTTTAGAAGAATGCTTTAGGCTTTGATTAGGCTTGTCGGTGGCGGTATTTGCCACAGGATTTCGTAGTCTCCCCTTCAAACACCTATTTTCTGCTGCAAACTCATCTCCGCTACTTCTCGCTCTCTTGAGTAGGACTATGAGAAGTGTCGCCGCCCCAGCGAGATTTCTTTTCCGCCGGGATGTTAATTACCAAGAGCGGGCCATTGCAAACTTGGCAGATTCCAGAGTGATATCGGCCGATATTAAATTTGCGAGGCGATGAGGGAGCGGTTGAAGGTGTGAAAAACGAAGGTGGGAAGAAGATGGGAATCGTTTGTGAATTGAGCAAAGAGATTATACGTATGTGGTGGAAAGGACTAGTCGCGGCGATGTGCATGCACAATGAAGGCTGCCACAGGAGGAATTGTTGGAGCGGAATGATGAAGTTTCTCCACGCAATGTTAAGAGTTGAACTCTAACGACGAGTGTTGCAATGGCAACGGTTAGGGTTAAGATCTTGTACTACGCACTCTCGTATTAGAAGCCTATGCGCGCAAAGCCGTTCAGACAGCCATCTCATAGTTACATTAGAGGCTAGGGATTTCTCCGGTTTCTTTAATCAGCTACTATTCCTACTATCCTTATCTCCTACTAATCGCCGAATATGTTAGTGCACCCACCCTCGAGCTTGCGTCTCTAGGGCCGGTGAATCACACCCTATAAATCCAGTTCCGCAACCCGCTCATCGATTGATACTCTCCTCTGTCCGATCTGCCTAGGCGTCCTTAATAGACTTATTCGACCTCGACGATAATCGCAAGAGCCGAGAGATAGGGTTCCGTTTAGAACGATCATGCTTTGCCATTGTCATCACTCGCTAGCATGGGAGGAATTTCTCCAAAGAGTCCATATACTTAAGATCAGTGGGCAGGAATTGTTTTCGTGGACTTTCAGCTCTAAGACTACGGGTCTTGGTGATTTGAAAAATTTCCATTGCATTCTAAGGCTTTGTTGGTAAGCATGTGATAGTGATAGAGATAATCGTTGTCGGACGGCGCTTCGACAGGTTCTTGGGCCGGAGAGGGAGATGTTGCTTGTTTCAAAACCCTTATTTTCACCAGAGTCGTCGGGTATGCAAAACCCGAGAAAGATGCGGTAAATAAATATTTCTGACGGGTCGTGGAGATGGGAGGGTGACGAAGTGATGTACCGGGGGAGGAATGTCTCCCACCGTTCACGTACGAAGATATGCACCATACTGTGCAGGGAAATTTAATGGTTGTCTGCCAGCGAATGAATAGCAAAGGAGTACCGGGGTCGTGAAAGTAGGTTCTTTTTGTACATGCAACTGTTGGCAGAAACTTACACCACCCAAATCATGCTCTCTGCGCTAGGAAATGGGATATTTACCTCATGATACGTTACAGTGTTAGATGAAGGGGGCGAGTGCTGGTAGAATGAACACTTCTATAGGAAAATCCGGGTCAAAGGGAATGACTTTAAATCAAAATCTGAGACCCAAAGCAATACACACACACATGTCTCGCAAATCTTCATCGGTAAGCTAGCAGCTAGCTTCACCCAACCTACTTCACCGCGGATAGCGAACATCCGCTACAGGCCCCCGATTGGCGAAGAGTAAATGGAATGTGGTGAGGAGAGCTAGATCATCGTGGAGTAGGAGGAGAGTTCTGAGTTGTTAGAACTTAGCATTATGTTGTATATAACTTTGGTAAATACTAGTTGTCAGCGAGGATCGGCAACTACAGTAGTTGCACAGAAGCTACCAACGCACTTCGATCGCTAACCTACAGTAAAAGAAAGAAGATACCGAATCATTGGGGTTGAGAAACCTATAGTTTATTCTACCAGCAATATTATTTTGGAAGGAAAGAGGTCAGGGGTTATGGCATTCTCTCGAGCGCATTTAATTACCTGTGAACCCTCCCGCTAAGCCCATGGTACTTGCATTAGCGTGCTCCGCTGATTCCGAACCGTAATTTGCAGCGTAGCCATGGATCCATCATTGCCTCGCCCACTCATTCTGTGTAGCAGAATGCAGTGGTTCTTCTGCATTTCCAGAACCAGCCACAGCTTTCCTAATCGGCTCCACATCCCTGTCACTTGCCTCGATTGCGCGTTGGGGTTCGCCTTCTTCCTCGCTGTCATCCACTTCGGCGACAGCGTTGTCGGAGTAGCGGTTGAAGTCTGGAAGATGTTGGATTGCGCGGCGTTGGCCATTAGGACTGCCGTGTTCTTCGTCAGCAATCATGGGGGAGAAGCGACCAGGGAGGATGCGGCGGAGCCACGAGGTTTGCCGAGTGGAGACTATTATGATTGCGAACTATGGAAATATTAGCAGGTGCAAGCCATAGTTGGAAGGGTGTCGGCGGCGTGTGCGTGTGCGTACCTGCCAGACAAAGACCAGCCCCACAACAGCCATTAGAATGCCAGCCACGCGCTGCTCCTCGCCCTTCCATGCATTAAGGCATCCGTTTGTTCTTCCAAACGCCTCCTCACAAGCATGGGCGTTGTGGGTCTTGTCCGGGAATGGCCAGGCCTGATCGTGCGGATTGAGGAGCCCGCAGCATTTGAAGGCATCCTGAATCGTCCGAATAGCCTCACTGTCTTTTTGTTTAAACAGCTCTCTCCACCGTCCCTCGAGGCCGCAGTTCAGCCCGGAAGGCGGGGCAGCATGCGTGCCGAGGAGGGTGATGACGACGGTCGAGTATATGAAGATGATGGTGTTGGCGACAATGACAAGCGGGGGACGGGTCGTGGCGCCACGAGGCAGACGATGGCGTCGTTCTTGTCGGCGAGTGAGGTCGTAGCTGCCTTCGAGAAGCAGGCCGGCGATGATGGGGAGCGCGGTCGTGAAGCCGGAGAGCGACGAGGAGACGGGGATTGAAAGTCTGTTGAGGCGGGATGAGGCGTAGCCAGACAAGGCTGTGCTAAAGATGATGTACTGAGTGCCCGTCAGCGAGTTGTGGGGGGATGTTGTACTAGGAGACTCACTATGATGCTGATGCAAGTCACGACTTGCTTCCTTGTGTAAGCCATGCTATCTTTGAGGACCCGGAGGCGGTCCGTATCTGTTCAGATGCAGGAGGTAGGAGGCGGGAGGAAGGAGGCAGGAGGCAGGAGGCAGGAGGCAGGAGGCAGGAGGCAGGAGGCAGGAGGCAGGAGGCAGGAGGCAGGAGATGGGGGAAAGAGACCGGAGAGGGGAGGAAGGAGGCAGGTGGTGGGAGGAAGGAGGAAGAAGGTGGGAGGTGGGAGGTGGGAGGTGGGAGGTGGGAGGTGGGAGGAAGAAGGTAAAAAGGTATTATTGTGAAAGTGTCGCCAGAGAAGGTTGTGGACTCATGCTGGTGGTGAGTGAAAATATCGAATTAGGCCAATTGCATGCGCACTCCGAGCGACTGGTTACGAATGTCTGTTCAAATGAGGGGTAAAATCTACATCAAACGTATGCGCGTGACAAACGCACCGTGGCACTATTGCCTATCATTATTTATCCTGGGCCATCAAGAGTGTTGAAGGTTATGGATAGCTCTGTGCGCGAAGCAGAGACGGAGTGCTGGGCTGCCCGGCGATCGCCGCGTTTGCTCGCCTGCAGGTAGCCATGTGAAGGCCAGAATAAGTACTGCGTGTGTAACTCTACCGAAAGGGGGGTTTCAATGGGGCCCATCTCAACACTGCAATTTCTAGCGTCGGAGAGACATTGGGGCGTGGCCCATGGCTGTTGGGCGGAAGCCTCGCGGAGCTGTGAATGATGCTCGAGCTTCCCCACCCGTTGGCAGAGGAGGCGCGCATGACTCGCGTTCTAGCGAGATGGCACCATCCATGTGTCCTCCGCTGGCTGTCGCTGTCAAATTCCCAAAGTCTTTCCCACCAAAAGCAGCACATTTATTTCTATAATCAAGTGGTACGTCTATCACGGACATGTCGCTTTCCCTTTGCAACGGATATGCCTCACCAAATATGGTACTGAGCTCGCAGAGGTATCGTCTTAAAAGAGGTCATGTCTTTCTTGTTCCGCTAATCAAGAGCAAATGAGAATTCTTCTCTGTTCTGTAAGCATTGTATTCGTTCAATGTTAGGCTTCTCCAAGGAGATTTTTCTAACTCGTCAATACGAATGGCTCTAGCAATATTCAAGTTATAATTAACCAGCACTGTGCTTTTCAGTGCGTTGTTGGGGACCCTCGGGCCTCCATGGAGTGCCTTCACAATCCCGGCCGCCTGCCGAGGCGCGGTATTTCCTGCTAATTACCGGGGTATATATATACTCCAGTCGCCCTCCTGTAAAATGTATCCTACATATCTTCCAAAGTCATGGCACACACTACGCAAACGGCATTTCCTAACGACAGCCCTGTGCCTGAGGTGTTTATGCCAATGGCATATTCGAGGCTCCCGTATCTACATCACCGACATCATATATTGACAGCGATGCACCGGACTCTGAATTGGAGGGCAGTTCAGGCAATATGGAGCAAAGGTAGCAAACAAGGGTTTCACTTTATAGAACTTTGTATCGGGCTGACATCGGTTCTGTTTTAGTGGACGCGAGGTCCAGGAAACAAATTTGAACCTGCAGAAAGCAAGGCTTGCCACACGGATTATTTGCCATCTTAGAACATATTCCTTCACTTACCAACTTAGACTATGGTACCTGTCGGAATAGACAGCGAGACGCGCACATAAATGGCACCTATAGGAATTGCTCTCGTATTCTCCTAAGACATCGCTCTCTATGGACGATTAGTGCGCAAAGCCGCTGTTCAAGGCGGTGCAATGAGGCTGACTTCGACCTAAGTTAGAGAGTAAACACACAAATGCCTGAACTAACCAGCCCCACTAGGGTTAGTCTATAGTCCGAATTTGCTTCCGAAAAAGCTGCCCTCCGGAGTTCCTCCATAGAGCAATCAGGTCCTCATTTACTCAGCTTTATCCTCTACTCCTCTGGAGTATAGCACTCACATAATAATTATTCTAGAAACTAGTATGATTATAGGCAGAACGTGAACACACAAATACTAACATGCATGGTTATTGCTGCTCTAGCGCATCCCATAAAGATTAAAAATTAAATAGTTATAAAGTTAAACACTACTGTACCTACAACTTAACAAAAACCGGCCTTATAATAGGCTAGATATTATGGCAGCTTATTGTTGCAAACTTAGAGAGGCGTGGCTGACCACAGGCAATACAACCTAGCGATCGCGAGTGGGTGGCTGCTGTCATACACATAATACTTCTTTGCCCTATGCCTTGCTGTATTTAGCCGTCTATTATTTGTCTATTTACGTTTGGTATAGACGCATCCTGTCAAGCTGAAGCCTGGCTGTTTTCGGCTGATCATTTTCTGTCCATTCTGGCCCCCACAAAGACGCATCCGGTCGAGCTCAAACCTGCTCGTGACAGTGAGCTACGATGACCCAGGAAATCAGTGCTGTGGTGTGAGCGATCACGCGGTTCGTTGTTGCCTGTCGTGTTACAGTACGCTTTGGACGCGCAAATGACGTGGGGGCGCACGTCAAACTCCAGTAGGTATCGGGGTCGCTTGCAGCTTATCTTGGCTAGTTTGGTAGCATCATTCAGCGGGTCCATCTTTCAGCCTTCCACCTCCTTCACCACCACATTCGTCGTAGATTTAGCCTCACATATCGTATCTTATATTTTGTTCGTGCCTCACTCAGCTATTCAGTACCATGTCGAATAAGTACAGAGGTGGCGGGGGTAGACAGCGAGGTGGCTTCCAGGGCGGCGGTGGTGGCCGCTCCCGTGGAGATCGCGGAGGTGGGTCTAGAGGAGGGTATGGAGGGCCGCATGGTGGTGGCCAGCAAGCTATCCAGGTCTTCTCGTAAGATAGAGCCTTACGCAGCAAAGTGTAGTCGTATGACACACTGACCATGTCTATAGCAACCCTCAAAGTCAAGATCCCAAAGTTGCGAAAGTTGAAGACGCATTGCATCCAACAACAAAGAAGACCCTCAATCTTGGAAGCTTAAAGTTAACCGAAGACTTCCCCAGCCGTCCCGGATATGGCACCAAGGGTGCCAAAGTTGAACTCACAGCAAACTACGTCGAGTTATTGCCCCCATCAAGCATGATTCTGCATCGGTACGACATCCAGATCAAGCCAGAGGCCGCCGGCAGGAAGCATTTCCGGCTCATGCAGCTACTTCTCCTGTCGACAGAATTGGCAGCTCACCAGGGAAACCTTGCAACTGACTTCCGGTCTACCCTTGTCTCCAAAACTAAGTTTCCGCGTAACGAGACCTTCATCGAGGTTCAGTATCGTTCCGAAGGCGAAGACGAGCCGGCGGCTGGAGCCACTACATATACGGTTCGCGTCCTTTATTCGAAGACTTTAAGTACGGCCGAGTTGATCGACTATCTGAACTCCACGAATCTTGGCCAGTCGTTTGGAGACAAAGAGGAGTTGACGCAGGCTCTGAATATCTTTCTGAACCACTATGCCAAGTCCGCAAACAACCTTGCCACGATTGGATCGACAAAAAGCTTTTCTCTGAACCAGAACGCCGCAAGAGGAGATCTCGGCTCTGGCTTAGAAGTCATTCGGGGGTTCTTTTCGAGCGTGCGCGTTGCGACTTGTCGCATCCTGGTCAATATCAATGTTAGCTATGGAGCTTTCTACCACGCTGGTCCTTTACTGGCGCTCATGAACAATTACGGAGTTCGCAACACTGTCGCCTTGGAAAAATTTCTCAAATCAGTTCGTGTGCAAACCACGCATCTGCCCGAGAAGCGCAACAAAGCCAATGAAGTAATTCCCCGAGTCAAGACTATCTTTGGACTTGCTAGGAAGGATGATGGACATCGCATGGCCCACCCACCTCGCGTTAGAAACCATGGGGCAGGCGCCAAAGATATCGAGTTCTGGCTTGATGATGAAGCCAGCTCTTCTAGTGCACCCAAGGCGGAAGCCAAGGGAGACCCGAAAGGGAAGGGTAAGGGCAAAGGCAAGGCCAAACCAGAGAGCTCAGCAGCTTCTAGCTCTGGGAAGTACATCAGTGTGTTTGAGTTTTTTAGAAAAAGTACGTTATTTTGCCTATCCATCCCTCGATGTAACTGATGGCGACGCAGCATACAATCAAGTCCTGCAACATCCCGAACTTCCGCTGATCAACTGCGGCAACCGTGAGAATCCGATGTATCTCCCAGCAGAAGTCTGCATTGTCTTGCCGGGTCAGCCTTCTAAGTCGAAACTCAATGGCGCCCAAACGCAGCAGATGATTCGCCACGCTGTTCGAAAGCCATGGGAGAATGCGGCCTCGATTGTTGGGGAGGGTGTACAGACTGTTGGTCTCAATGAGAACTCCAATGTGCTTTTGGTACGTCCTCCCCCCCCCCGCCCCCCACATCCAAATACGACATACTAACATCGTCCAGCGTTCTTTTGGCGTTAAGGTCACTCCAGGACTCATCAAAGTCCCCGGTCGCATCCTCGTTGGCCCGAAGGTCATCTACAAGGACAACAAGGCCGCCGACCCACGCTTCGGTAGTTGGAATATGATCGATATTAAATTCAACACTAGCGCCTCACTTACCAAGTGGTCATACCTATTAATCTCGCTCCCCCGAACACGTGACTCCTTCGACCTGCAAAGCGTAAGGACTGTAATGAATGAGTTTCATCAAGCCTTGAGGAAAATCGGCGTCGACGCCGCTCCACCATTAGTAGGTCAACGCCTCCAAATTCAGACCCCAGATGACCCTGCGATCGGCTCAACCTTACAACGCGCCGCTGGAGCTTTGAATCTCCTTTTTATTATTCTGCCCGAGGCCGACATACCACTATATAAGCGCATCAAGACGCTGGCTGATAAGGACTATGGCATCCACACTGTCTGCTCTGTGGGCTCTAAACTAGCCAAAGACCGCGGCCGCGACCAATATATGGCCAATGTCGCTTTGAAGTTCAACCTTAAGCTTGGCGGCATCAATCAGATCGTGGAGAACAAGAACCTCGGCATCGTCAACCAGAACAAGACAATGGTTGTTGGCATTGACGTCACACACCCTTCACCTGGTTCTTCTTCTAACGCGCCTTCTGTCTCCGCAATGGTAGCTTCTATTGACCGGTTCCTAGGTCAATGGCCCGCAACCCTGCGCATCCAACGCGCGAGGCAGGAGGACGTGGACGACCTAGAGGAGATGCTCAAGTCTCGCCTTAACCTCTGGAAGACCAAAGGTAAACACACCGCTCTCCCCGAAAATATTCTTGTCTACCGCGACGGAGTTTCCGAAGGTCAGTACAACAAGGTCCTCGAGAAAGAGCTTCCCCAACTCCGCCGCGCATGCGAACGAGTGTACTCAGCAGCCGACACTAAAAGAGGCCTTCCACGCTTCACCATCGTAATCTGTGGCAAGCGGCACAAAACGAGATTCTACCCCACTACTGAGCAAGGCTGCGACAGGTCTGGCAATACTAAACCCGGCACCGTCGTCGACCGCGGGGTGACTGAAGCGCGGAACTGGGATTTCTTCCTACAGGCGCACGCCGCACTTCAGGGAACCGCACGCCCATGCCACTATTACATTGTGCATGACGAGATTTTCCGGCAGACCTATGCAAAAGCGATTCCACCCCCGTTCCAGAACATCGCTGATATCGTGGAAGATCTCACGCATAACATGTGCTACTTGTTCGGCCGCGCGACCAAGGCTGTTAGTCTATGCCCGCCCGCGTACTACGCTGATCTCGCGTGTGAGCGCGCGCGATGCTACTTGGCCAATTTGTTCGACACCCCATCACCAAGTGCGGCCCCGTCTGTGACTGGAACCTCGGCGGCTGGAGGAGCCGGGCAGCCTAGTGCTGGTGATGTCGAGATCCATCCAAGGCTAAAGGATACGATGTTCTATATCTAGATTTGGATATTGTGAAAGCGCTCATCACTGGTGTACGCTCGCGGAAGGGAAATGATGAATATTAAACTATAACAAAGAAGGTTATGGAAGGAAGCTAGCAAGGAGCGAGATATGGAGCACCGAAAGCACTATAGGGCAACAAGTGGCAGGAATCTGGTCTATATCACGCTGGGGCTTGGGATATACGAAACGGCCGCTATTCTCCTATACATTTTTACAATCTAGAAGCTATATACGGCTCAATACATTCGTTCATTAACCCGTGTATTGCTCTATTTCACATTGCGCTTCTTATGAAGCGTTAATCTAGTCTAACACTGTGGCGTACACTCTCTTAGCCTTGCAGCGTAAGTTAAAGAAAAGCATGTCAGCAAATCTCCCTCTATCTTTATTTAATAGGGAAAGCCGCAGGCCTACAGCCTCTAGCTGTTGCTATCGCACACACCTAAACAGTATTACGGCGTAATTCTTCTAGTTCATGCAAGGCTCAAACAGATGATAATCCCACCTTTTAGGCATTTTAGATACCAACCTTAGTCATAGCACTCTTAGACGCAGTAGCGCAGAGCGAGCCCATTGCGCCAACGGAACTAGCGCTACCGCAGAGGAAAATTGCGTCAATGAGCCAATACTGCAGATGGGGATGCCAGTGGAGATCTAGGCCTTAACACAGCAGACAATGCCGGTTATTTTAATGTAGAAGCAGGTTTCGAAGCTATCAGATGGGATAGTGCGTACTTGTAGTCATAGATACATTACTCCGTATCTTAGGTCCGCCGCCCTCGCTGTCTCAAATGCCATCCTGGTAAAGTCGTCGCTGGGAAAATTGTAGGATTTACTAGAGCAGGAGTTACTGCTCTTATTTAAAAAATTTATTAACAACATCCCAGGCATAGATCTTGCCCTTGTAGCAGCATAAGAGTTTGATGTGATTCTGCATGACCTGGTAAGGGTGGCCTCATCGTGGATAGAGGAGACCCACTATTGCGAGTTCCAGAAGTGATGTGTATGGATTACTTGTTTTTAAGGGGGGGGGGGCTAACTAAAGTTCACTATGAGGATGGTAGCATTTGAGCTTGCGCTCAGGCGGTCCTGTTCGGAACAGGCATCGAATTACTTCCTATCCTTAGCAACAATAGCACCGCGAGTGCTTTGTAGAGCTTAGCTGTCAAAGAGATCCAGCTCCACGATGGGCATAGCAGAAGCCACTTTGCGGATCCAGCCTCGTCTGTGGATGCATATGTCCACTAGCATTCATACATCTCTGGCCATGCTATGTGGATTCTCACTGCAACCAAAGTATGATACGTGCGATCATAGGGATTTAGTAGTTTGTAGGGCTATATAGCATGGATGAGAGGTCTCTGAGCCCTCCACTAAGCTTATAAAGAGCACCTATACTAGAAGCTGTAGCACAGTACGTATAAAGTTGTTTGCAGGACACTCTCCTGAGCGATGTCTTCTATTCGCACCTGTAAGTTAGAGCGGCTGACCTCGCATGGTTCGTGGTATTAGACTGCAGGAGCGTTTTCGAAATGAAGGTGGTGGACTGAGCAAGGCTGGCCGGTTTTGGAGCCGGCTATAACGCAGTCGGCGTTAAGGGAGTTACTGGCTGCAAGATACAGCTGTAATTATAGCTAAGCAATGTTATGGGCATGCGGAGCAAGAGTATTTTCTTACTTATAAGGTAGCGAATTCTATTGCTGTTTTTAAAGATCTAAGTTAGCTAACTAGAGGCATAACTAAGGTTAAGCTAGATTACAAGGCTGTAGAGCTAAGATTGTCCTACTTGCTAAGACTTTGCACAGCTATATTAGCATAGGTAAATTATATTATAACTATTGCATAGAGAGTGTACAGAGTTGTTTTGTGTAAGCTAGAATTAGTATTCATTTTTATTAAAGTTTATAACTTACGCAACTCTTACATAAATTAATATTGTACAGCAAAGATGAAGCTAATAATAAGTTCTAGTATTATAGCAAGCTTTTAAAGCTTGGTTAAAAGATTTTTATAAGTAACGTACTTCATGGGCGAGTTGCTCACACACCTGAGTTGCTTACTTTTGCTAAGACCCTACTAAACCACCCTTCCTACACTAATGCATTCCCCACAACACTACTTAGACGCGCTAAAAGAATGTTAGATACAGCTTACACTTTAAGCTTTTAAATAAGACATAAAACTCTTAAAGAAATATGCTATAGCTATGTATAAGGTCTTATAAAAGATAATAAATAACTATAGCACTAAATAACCTTTATAAGCTAATTCTACAGCTAAATTATAAAGGCTAGGTAATAAAAAAAAGTAGGTAATTATTAAGACTATACTTAAGCTATATGCGCAATAAATTTCCCCTTAGATAGCATTTATAGCTAATATAGCTAATTCTTTACGCGCTAAGCATAATCTAGGCTATGTTTACATAAACTAGCCTAGTATGTTTATAAAGTGTTATTTAGAGCTTAAAGTAATGTTTAAGTGTAAGTATAACTATAAGAGAGCTTTTTATAAGAGTCTTAGAGTAATTTAGGGCAGGTTTAGCCTTATAGAGAATATTAAAGCTAAGTATAGTATCTAGAATAATAACATGTATAACTTTAGTAAAATAGGGTTTATAATTAGCTAGATATTTTTTAACTATACTTACGCTTAAAACTTTACTTTAAGCTCTAAATAACGCTTTATAAACATACTAGGCTAGTTTATGCAAACATAGCCTAGATTACACTTAGCGTGTAAAGAATTAGCTATATTAGCTATAAATACTATCTAAGGGGAAATTTCTTACGCATATAGCTTAAGTATAGTCTTAATAATTACCTGCTTTTTTTTATTACCTAGCCTTTATAATTTAGCTGTAGAATTAGCTTATAAAGGTTGTCTAGCGCTATAGTTATTTATTATCTTTTATAAGACTCTGTATATAGCTATAGCACATTTTTTTAAGAGTTTTATGTCTTATTTAAAAGCTTAGAGTGTAAGCTATATCTAACATTCTTTTAGCGCGTCTAAGTAGTGTTATGGGGAATGCATTAGTGTAGGAAGGGTGGTTTAGTAGGGTCTTAGCAAAAGTAAGCGACTTAGGTGTGTGAGCAACTCGCCCATGAAGTACGTTAATAGAAGTTCTTAAAGGTTAATAATCATACTAGAGTAAAGACTCCAGTGGAAAAGCTATAATATAGCAAAATACGATACAATATAGTTTAAATAGAATATCGTAGGTGTAACAGTGTCATCTAGTATAATCCCGCTTAGGGTAAAGAGAAGTATCTTACCCAGAGACCCCCAGCACCAGGCGCGTTTTAACACACAGCGCAGGTCTTAAGACATTGGTTTGCCTAGGCATAACTGTTTTAGTAGGGGTTTCGCTACGCAAAGCGAGAGAATAACACTCCTTGTTAAGATTCAGCTTCGATAGTTTACCATCGGTAGTTCGGCGCGCATAATGATGCATTGGACGCGCCGTCGCGGCTAGGGTTTGTTTTTGCTTTATATTAACATCATTCACGGGTGCTGCACCTCGAAATAGTGCTACTTACTCCATTTCGGAGTATACAGCGTTGTGTTTTGATAGCGTGCCGTTGTCCCAGATATATATGCCTTCCCATCTCTCTACAATATATCGTACGTGACACTGCACCCATACATTAGTCGTTCATTGAGATTGGTCCCTTTCTCATCAGGGCAAACCCCTATCTCGTGCAGCAAATAGTGAGCTCTTCAAACTTTACAATACAAACTTTCAGCTAGCTTAGTTTGGATCTGTAACCAGGCCAAGCCACCATCTACTAGTGCCTGTACCTCTCTTTTTACCATGGCTACCCTAGAGGCTCCATCAAATCAACATAATTAATACAACAACATACTTCCGCTGCACCAACCAAGCTTACAGGACCTCTCTAAGGGGACGTACTCCCCCATCCTCAAGCCCCTACTTGCCTTTACGAGACATGCTCACTCCTCACCAACTCTATTTACATCCAAAGCTCCAAAGATATTACAAGATGTTATTGAAGCCGACTTCCTGGCCGCAACTTCGGTGCTCGAATTCTCGGAATGATCTAATCGATCATGCTAGTGTCCACGAGTTGCATAAACTTTGATGGTGGGATGGATGGAAGGTGAAATCCCAGGACTTCCTCCATTCTCACTGCCAGCCGCTTCCGAGCGAACACCAGGACTTTACGCCTTGCGGTTTAGGCACACGAAAGTCAAATCAGGAGTCAGGCTCAACCAAGAGAGTATCACGTGATATATTCGTTCCCCGAACGCCACCAGAAGCAAACATTAAGCGACGCCAAGACAGCCCGTCTAGATTTCGCTTACTTCACCGACTCCAGAACTCTATTTAGACACAATCATTTCCTCATCTGTCCCGCAATAGCTTTTGCACCCTCTGAGGTATGTCTACCTCACCCTGGCTTGGGTGGTTAATAAATGTAATGTGTACTCACATTCAATATCGCTCACGTTGTGAACAGGCCATCATACTTCGTTAGTCACCAGACTTACGTTACGCACAATTCTCTGCATTCACGAACCCTATTTGGCCTATTTGTGACTGTATAGCCGAAAATTCGGTGTCTAGACTCCTGAGTGGTTCTTGCGTTTGTCAGGGCCGCCAGGCACCACATCATCCACGAACATTTGAACTACCCCACCCAAATTCAACACTCGTTCCTCAGCTACGACAACAACTTCTGGGCCACCGTCGCAATGAGTCCTTCCGCCCTCACTACCCCGCAAGACAAAGCAAAGCGAAAGGAATCCCCGAAGCATGTCAATTTCTCCAGGGGTCATAGTGTCGTGATAATTCCCCCCGAAATGGAAACTTGGGCAAACAGCTCTCCACCATCTTCACCAACTCCCGAGCGAGAAATATGGGCCAAGAAAAATGTCGACGATGAGCTTGCAGCTCTAGGAAGTGCGAGCGGCCTTGCTGAGCCCGTGGAGACTGTTGCGGATCAGAAGAAAAGCCCTCAGAAACCCCCTCCAAAGCAGACCTTTGGAGATATCCTCGGAAAGGTAGGTGCATCTGAGCCGGTTGGAGAACCTCCAAAGCCAAAAAGGAGAGCTTCCAATCAATGGCAATCCGCAATTGCTGGGATCATGGAGAAGGGGAAGACGAGGTTAAGTGAGAAACCCAAAATCGTCACTGAGCGCACGCATCACGGACCGAATCCTTTCAACCAAGCTATGAGCATGGGAAACCAGGAAATTGGAATAATTCCGCATCCCGTAGGGACATCCGGCCGTCCACCAAAAAAGGCGTCCAGCCAACCCCCATCCTCCAAGGACCCGGACAAGAACCCTACATCTACATCCCCAGCACGAACCCCAACACGCAAACCTATCCCCCCTCCAAAGAAAGCATATCTATCCTCCCCTACTCTTCTCCCAACTCCACCTAGCTTCTCCACGTCCCCAAACCGCAACATCTCTGGACCCCCCCAGCTCCCCCCACACCTAAAACCCGCGCAGGGTTTCTCCCGCAGCGAAGAAGCGTTGTCCCTCCCACCTCGATCCCCCTTTCAACGAAACGCATTCCCGAGCCCAGAAATCCACCCGCTACGCGGAAATCCTGTGACTCCGCCCCAATCCCAGACTCTGCTATCTTCGGAACCTTCGGAACCGTCGCCGCCGACTAGCACGCACTCGCTGCCACATTATTCCTCGAATGTGCATGAGCACCAGACTTTGGATTTCAGCGACTTTGTGCCTACGGAGCAGATGGCGACGATGACGGGTTTAGATGAGGAGGAAAGAGAACGGAAGGCGGCGCAGCGGAGTACCAGGTTGAAGGATCGGGCGAAGAGGTTTAGTAAGATGGTTGTTGATAAGGGGGTTGAGAGGATGGATAAGAAGAACGGCAGTGGGTTTTGAGGGGTCAGTGGTTGGGGTTGTTCGAGCGTGAGAGGGGCGATGTTTGATGAACCAGGGTGTAATATGGTTGGGGTGGATTGTTTAGGCAGGTTGGTGCATTTGTGAGACTAGGCTTGACGCATGGGATATTAGAAATGGGTGAGTTTTATGGATTTAGTTTAATTCAAAACTAGCAATGAAACGGCTCATTTAAGCAGGTGGGGGTTCCATTGTTGACTTCCACAATGACTTCCACAAACCGAGTGTATCCAGATCACGAGATTAAAACTCCTTTTTCAAACGAAAATGCATCTAATAAGCTTGGCAAAGTGGCCAGCAACGTAGCTATAAGGCGTTCATTAACTCAAGCTGACAACGCATTGGTCGATAACGGTGTGTGCTGTACCATATATTGCCAGGTTAAATACTCCAGTCTCGACTGCTCTTGAATAAGCAAGGCGAGCTAGGGCATCTCAGAAAGGGATTAGATCGAATGGACAGAAGACTCGTGAAGGAGAACAACAATCGGGGGTGGCGCATATGACTTCAGGGATCTGCTACAGATGGAGGGAAGCAGAGAAAGACTGCATCTAAAATCATTAGGACAACCTGCTTTGCGTTATAGTTAATTTGTAAGTTTAGTCAGCGATGAAATGCCCTGGGGCTCACACACAATAAGAAGACGTTTCCCTGCCGCCAAGCAAATGAGGGGAATTAGTACCTAGTTGGGAATATGCATTCGAACGATGAACGGCACCGGGGTTTTCATACAAACCGCAGCCCAATATGCGATATACTCTTAGGGGAAAACTGACCTCACCAAAGTCCATTTCCGCCCTCGAACCTGAGCGTACGAGGATTTGAAACAAAGCGATGACTAAGTAACCTGAGCTTGTGGCTGTGCAAGCCTGAGCAATCCTGAATCTGGGAAGCCAGTTGTCCCAGATTGGGGCCACTTTGGTGGCCCAGTTCTTGACATATAGCCTAGTTTCTGGCACTAAGTGGCCTAGATTTTGGCCCCTAAGCTCGTTTATACTTTCCTTTTAAAAGTGTGGGCAAGATAATCTTAACAAGGATGCTCTTCTTAATCTACAAGAATCTTTAGCCCTAGTATCGCCTTTTCCAATTTCAGTCACGACTTTATGAGTCTATGGAGGCTATAATTACGATCTAATTATAACACTTATTACATTCTTATACTTGTATTTAATTGCTAGCATTTCTATAAAGATTCAGGTAATTCAGACTAACTTTTAAAGCAAGATAGAGATAAGAAAGCAAAAGATCTAATTAGAGAGATTATAGATATAGAATGTTTTGACACCTTGCGTACTACTAACAGATTCATATAAAGTTAATTAATCTTATAGTATAGAGGATTTAGCACTAAAGAATTATATGTTGATCAAGAGTGATTCAAATGCCGTATCTACAGATTTTAGATGAGTAACATGGAACACAAGCAAGTTAGTAACATAAGCAAGTTAGTAGCCTTACTAACTTTCTCTACCTTTAAAACAACACAACTTAATAACGCATTAAAATACTATAAAAATATAAGTATCTAAGATAAAGTAGCGTCTATAGTATTTTTTTTACATGTGTAAGAATTATAACTAGGCTCTCTACAGTAACTACAGCGCGCAAGAGCCTGTTAACTTTACCCTAATGCTAATACAGCCTGCTGCCTACTCTGCTCTGCTAGCTACTGCGTGTCTTTTTAAGCAACTATATTTACACCTTCTTTAATTATTATATTTTTATGCCTTTAGATCTGCCTTTTTTTACACACTTTTTACTTTATTACAGCTTTATTAGCTTTTTAAAGAGTAAAGACCTAATTACATAGTAGTAGAGCTAAATACATTACTATTTTAGCGCCTTTAGTAAAATAATCTAGCAACTAAAGCATTTATATAAAAAATAAGTTTTAATGCTGTTAAATCCTTATATAAAGTAGAGTTAACTGCGCCTTAAGTTTATATATATTACTTAGTGTTTATAACACCTAGAGAGCCTTTAGTTAAAGTAGTAGTAGTAGTAAAGGCGTATAAACAACTATATTAAGCTTAAATAGTACTGCTTTTAGTGTAAGTAAGACTAGCCCTACACCTTTAAAACTTACATAAATATTCTTTAGTATAAAGGCCTTTTTAAAAGCTACTTTAAAAAAAGGCAAGAATTTAAGCTTAGTAATATACTTTATATAGTAGTAAACTAAGCTATTAATTTTATTTTTATACACACACTTTAATAGTAAAAAGCAGCTAACATTAAGTAGTTAAAAAAAATGTAATAAATGTAAAGGTATATAAAGCATGTAGATATTATTCTTTTTATAGAGGTTTTTAAATATAGCTAAGTAATAGCTTACATAACTATCTAAAACTAAGAGTTAGCGCGCGCCTACTATTTTATTCTTAGTATGCTTAATAAAGTGCCTTAGCTAAGCAACTCTAAAATTATTGTTAGTTTATTTATTCTTACTTATACTAATCTTCTAGTTGCCTAGAATATCCTAATCCTTATACTAGGCAGATAGGTGGTACTAGGCCTTAAAAATAATGTATAGTAGAATAGCCTACTTTATAGCATTAATTCTCTAAATAACTATAACCTACTTATAATTACTTAGTTATACTACTTTAGGCTAATAATATTTCTCTAAGCTAGTAATAACTATTTAAGATGTTATTTAGCCTATTATAAAGCTAGCTTTATTAAAGTTAAAGGTATCCTTGTCTAAGATTCTATAGGTAGCCTGTGTACACTGTATAAGCTTAAACTAGGTCTGTATTATCCTAGGATTCTTACATAGAGCTTGCTGCTAGTTATATAGTTAATTAAAACATATAGTAAGGCTATTTATATGCTTAATAAAGTTTAGTAGCTAGTTTTTTTTTACTAGCTAAGCACTACATGCAGTAAGTAAATTATTAGCTATAACTTGCACAGTGTTTAGGCTAGGCAAGAATTTTTGTAAATTAAGGTTAAGTATATGTCTAATAATTAACTTCTTTTTTAGCTTAGTAAGCTTTTTTAAGTTAAGCTAGTAATTATGTTATGTAGGTTAACTAGCGCGTTAGTTGTTTAGAGTTAATTAGAGCATGTTAAACATAGCTGCAGCACAATTTACGCTTTTAATTTGTGCGCAATTAAGGGCTTAGATAGTAAGAATAATACCTGCTTTATTTAAACATAATTAAAAAGTAGTTAGTTAAGCTATAGTAGTTAATAGTTAACGCGTTGCGCAAAGTTAGTAAGGCTACTGTGAGAGGTATCGAGCAGGAAACACAGGTCACAGAGAGGGAATGCAGGATAGGGGGGTAACGAGAGTAAACCTTAGGGTCGGAGGCAGAGGTACGGAGGCCGAGGAGCCTATATACCCCGTGCCAAGCCCTTAGGGTACTCAGGGGTTGGATAGCTGTAACATAACTGTGACATAGCCTCCCCTCTTCTTAGGGCTCGTCCTGAGACCTAGAAAAAGATAGGTAGTGTTAAATTCTATGTACAAAAGTAGCGTGACTAGCCTTATTAAAAACCTAGTAGGAAAAAAGAGTACATAGTTAGCCACAAAGCTTGCACTAGCCATAGGCGGACCTGCGGTGGTGACCGTACGGGTCACGCCTGGGCAGTACCCATCCCTGGTGACTGAACTCCGGAAAACCTTAGTGAGGAAAAACTATGTTAGGAGAAGTGCAACTAGGTGCTTTAGAACGCTATTGCTGGCGCTGCAGGTGCTGCAGTAGGACGTTCTTATTAGGTTAAGCCTAGTAGACCTTTAGAGGCTAAATAAAGCAGATAGCCTGTAATTAAACAGCCTACTTAAATATAAGCAACCTAAAATTGCAACTTTACATCCTTACTATTTAGTTAAGGTCTGCTTTTAAAGGTCCTAAGGTAGTTAATACCTGCAGGCATTAGAGGGTATCCATAGATGTACCGTTCCCGCACCGGGCTATCTCCGCGCGCTGAGCGTTTGAAGATACCATGCAAAGCCTGCATGTGCCCTAGTGTATAGTTACAGCAATTAGATGCCGAACTGGGCGGTGTTCCGCCAGTTCTTTCTCTGTACGCAAAATGCTTGAGGGGAGTTGCTATTCGCTAGGAGCATTGCTATGCTAGTAGTTAGGTGCGAGCGTGGGTGACAGCTCCCTAAGCTGTACGCGTGTTTCCCCACCTCTCTGGCATACCATATTAGGCAGAGAGCTATCGCATGGATAGCAGGACGCTAGGCGTACTCAGCTTGTACGGGACGTGCTTAGTAAGCTCACAGAGCTAGACAGCCTTGCAGTAGCAAGCTTAAATTTAACACTAAGAGCTCTTCTAGCTAAAGGTTAATTATTAAAGGAGCTAAAGGAGATAGATGGCGACACAAATGTTATAAGTAGGACAGGATGCTAACTATGTAGGCTAGCAACATAACAGGTAGACACAGCAACCTGGTGTCGCGGCTCTGCACTGCTACCACAAGGTGGCCAGACCTCGCAGCGACAGTGCTAGATATGTGTAATTAAGGGACGTTAGGCTTAACTTCTAGCGTAACTATGTAAAGTAGGGATTAAGCGCTTTACATCCTTACAAATAAGGTGTTAAGCTTATTGTAAGGGTGTACATTACTACAGCTATAAGCTTCTAGGCTGGTGAGCATTGCTATAAGGGCTGTACAGCACAGGAGGTTGCACAAGCTAGCAGGCTTAGCAAGAACTGCAAGGCATTGCTTTGCTAGAATACACAAAGGCATATGTAATAGCACTAGGCAGTAATGCTGTACATGCAACTAGACTTAATTAGGCGTGGCCTGTCTAATGTTGTCTAAATCTCTGTGCAGTAGAGCTGCAGCTTAGTGTAATTGCAAGCCGCAGCTTAAAGCAACTACAATCTAGTAGGGCCTGTAGGCTATCTAGTAACAGCCTGTACGCTGTCCAGTACTAGTGCGACTAAGTTAACTTTAATAGGAGATCTCCCTAAGGAGGAACCTCTATGTCCCACCCTTCCTTCTTACCTGCCTTCGCTAAGGTAGGTAGTAGCTTATAGGATAGGGCTAATAGTAGGGATAGTTTACTTATTCTTCTCCTTCTTAGGGCGCGTTCTAAGCCCTTAGAAAGAGGTAGCTAAGGTTAGTTTAAAAAAATTTAGTTGCTAAACCTTACATAGTTTGCTAGTAAACTAGATGTAGCCTAAAGCTATCTAGGAGGCCTGAAGGCGATCTAGATACAGCCTAGAGGCAAACTAGGTGCAGTCTAAAGCCATCCAGGTATAGGCCAACAGCTATCTGGATACAGCCCGAAGACCATCTGGCAGTAATGCAACTTCGCAAAGCCAGCAGGCAATTGCAGGCCTATAGGCCATCTAGATACGGCCTAGAGGCAAACCAGGTGTAGCCTAAAGCCATCTAGGAGGCCCAAAGGCGATCCGGATACGGCCTAGAGGCTTCCTAGGTACTTCCCAAAGCCACCTAGGGCTTAAGGGCAGTTGCATTATAAAGCTGTCTGCGCTGCACCTCTTGCTAAAACACAAGGTGCTTCGCGCTGAAACACAAGGTTCTTGGCGCTAGTGCAGCTAACAACAATCCTGCATTCAACCACCACTACCACCACCACCACTGTATCCGCTCGAGAGCTTAAACGCTTAATTAGTGCGCGTACGCAAAGTAGCCAGTAAGGGCTCAGATTAATAACAGGGCATAGGCGGCTTAGTAGATGGGCGGCTTAGTGGATGGGCGGCTTGCAAGCTAATAATTAAGGATAAGGGGTACCTGCATCTTCTATTAGTTGCGGTGCCTAAGCTTGTTTAACTTAGCTTGTTTTATAGCAAGCGTTGTTGCTATTAAAATTAATAGGGTTAAGCTTCCTCTAGCTGCGCTGTGCAGACTGCTTATCCTAAGGGGATATGTAAAGGTTTATAATGTGAGAGGTATTAAGCAGGAAACACAGGTCACAGAGAGGGAATGCAGGATAGGGGGTAACAAGAGTAAACCTTAGGGTTAGAGGCAGAGGTACGGAGGCCGAGGAGCCTATATACCCCGTGCCAAGCCCTTAGGGTACTCAGGGGTTGGATAGCTGTAACATAACCGTGACAGCTACTAACTTGCTTATGTTACCAACTTGCTTGTGTTCCATGTTACGCTAATCATTTCATAGATCTTACTATCAGCTCTCCCTAATAATACCTGAGCAACGCTTAACCTATATGCTATTGTAACTGTGGAATATTATCCTAATTAACCCTACTAGAGTTTTCTAAAGAGACATTAACTTATTGCGCATCTGCAGTAAGTCTTCCACACCGCGGAGGGATAATTCACTATTTTGTGGACTATCTTGGTTTCCACGCACTACTACCACCCACCCTAGCTCTCGCAGGATGCGGTTGCTTACCCCTTTGTGCTCTATATCCTGTAGTTAGTGTCGCACGTGTCTCACGCGATATCATACCCATGTACTGCACTATTCACTCATTAGGCATAGCTTCTATCTTGTACAGTATATAGTCAGCTTAGAGCTCTATTAAGCTTCTTAGACCTTACAATACACTTGTTTAATCTACCTTATTTAGATCTTACTACCTTGTTAACTTGCTTTTTATATAACGCTTCCTTAGCTTATGTAAGACTAGCAGGTAGCAAGAATGTTATAACTTGTTATTACTCTCCCTGCCTTTCTTGCCTACTTTGCTAGCAACCTCTAGACCCTCTCTAGTCGTTAGCTTGACCATATCGCCTACCCCTACAACCTTCTCTGCTCCTCTGCCTAGCCGCATCTTAAGTAGAATCTTTATAGTTATTCTATCTATCTTATCTAATTATTTTAAAATTATAATTTTATATTTATTCTACTTAATATTTGCCTCTCTTTTACTTACTTAAATCTGTTAAATCTGTCTAGCAACTTTAGCATCTTTGCTAGTTATTAAATGTGTAGCTAGTAGTAGACAGTTTATTTACAGATTTTATTACTAGGTAGTTTGTTAAAGTTTATTCTCCTAAGAAATTAGAACTTAAATAGTTGTCTAAAGGCTAATTTTTATAAGTGTTTTAGTAGGTACATCTGTAAAAATCTAGGGCTTATATGCAATAAAATTAGCAAGCCTCTAAAGATAGCGTTGCTGTAAGTATTATTATTAATTGCGTTTCTTCCTAGCATCTACTGCTGCTGCTGTTATAGGAAATTCCCTTAGCCTGCCTAGAGGCTTTTTAAAGAGATTAATAGATAGCATAATGTAAATAATATTATAATAGTTAATAATTAAAAGGCTTTTACTGCTTATTAACACTTTTAAATTTTAAAACTGCCTAAATCTAGTTAGCGTAGTAACAGCACACCCCTTATTACATTATCTTGTGCGCTAACGCTTACACCTCTTGCCTAAATAGTAGGCTGTAATAGCTTAGCGTAGTAGGCAAATGCTTAATAACATAGTAAATTTAATAAAGAGAAAGAATAATCTTCTTGCTATTAAATAAAGTTTAGAAGTACTTAACTAACTTACATATAGTCTAGAGGTAGGGCTATTAATATCCTAGCATAGCGCTACTAGGTCTTACTCTGTTAGAGGGGGGGCCTAGAAAAAGGTTACTGCAACTTTTTTCTAACCTACCTCTTCTCTAATTATCCTAGCTGTGTACTACAGTTTGCAGAGATATACTATAGTTTACAGCAATATGCTTCTACTTATGCTGCTAGTTAATCCTAGCTAATAATCTTAGGCACTAGCCTATTACATAGGCATTTTATCTACGCCTACGTTCTAGGTATAGTATTCTATGCAATTATGTCACCCTAATAAGCAGCCCTAGCGTAAAATACAGCATATTGTTGTTTTTACAGCTATAGATAAAGACTATCTAATTTTATAAAAAGCCTTAATGCAGCTAGCACGCCTTACTAAGTGCGCAATGCTATTCCTAACTACCTACTATACATATGCATACTATATTACAGAATCTAGCTTTTAGAGCCTTTGTAAAACGTTTCTATCTATTATCTATGTACTACTAACTGCTAGAGGCGGGTGCTGTTTAATTCTACTAAAAACCTAAATACAGCTAGCGCCTAATGCTAGCTAAGTACTACAATGCTATTCCTAACTACCTACAAACTATACAGATGCATATAATATTACAGAATCTAGCTTATAGAGCCTTTGTAAAACGTTTCTGTCTATTATCTACCTACTACTAACTGCTAGAGGTGGATAGTGTTTAATTCTACTAAAAACCTAAATGCAGCTAGCGCCTAATGCTAGCTAAGTACTATAATGCTATTCCTAACTACCTACAAACTATATAGATGCATATAATATTATAGAATCTAGCTTATAGAGCCTTTATAAAACGTCTTTACTTATTTTCTACTTACTACTAACTACTAGAGGTAGATAGTGTTTAATTCTACTAAAAACCTAAATGCAGCTAGCGCCTAATGCTAGCTAAGTACCACAA